CCCCCACCTCAGCTGAACGCGACCCTCCCCGTCTTCAATCAGCATGAACGCCTCTCACAACTTAATCACGTTTAGCTACATACTATGGCAAGCCACTTTAACATTTATCCCTTTTAAAATGAATATATATATATATATATATATATATATATATATAAGTTACATTGTTTTAATTATTAGTACAAATTCAGTAGTGAATAGGCTTTTTATAGTTGAGTTTCGTTTTGAATGTTGAATATTAAGTTAAGTATTGCAATTGAACTATAAAAGAGCCATTCTAACATTACATATGACCAGGGGCGGACTTAGTGATTTGGGGGACCTAAACAAATTCCAGGTATGAGCCCCCAACACAATAACTATGTGCTCTTTTATGACTAACCCTTATTTTGCTCGCTCACTCACTCTCATAGTTTATTTATCCCTTCACAACCAGTAATTAGATAACCTGATGCTGTTTTAAAGCCATATAAGGCTACCTTTTTTCGGATAACAAAAGAAGATTTAAAAAAATGATTGCACTTGTCCATTTAATAAATTGTAAACTTTTTCAATCTTTTTACAAACATGAAATTATCCCATGCAACTCGTTCCATATTCCAAGTGTTCTGAAGGCATACAGTAGGGTTTGCCGAGAAACAATGAAAGAAAATGTAATCTATTATTAAGCGAAAATCTCCAGTCATTGCAATCGTGCATTTATACAAGTGCGCGGCAGTTCGCGCTGGCGGTCCTAGGAAAAGCACACTTTGAAAATGAGCGAGTCATTTTGAAACATCAAGATAAATAAAATGATGACTTGAAACACAATACTTTATTTACTGAGGTGAATATCTTTGTCCTGAGACAGTCAGTCAGTATTATACAGCCTAGAATGCACACAAAGACCGCTCCCTCATATAATCACTAAAAGCTGTCACTGACTTCAGTTCATTGCAATCTCACGACGTTCCATTAATAAGCTCTCTACTGCACAGTGAATCTTTTATTTACATCGTGTCTACACTTTGTTATAATAGGATTCCCGAGCTTGCAGAACTCAGCAAACTGTATTTTGAGCGGTGAGTGTATTCTAACTTAAACACTTCTGGTCATTGCGTTCAAGAAATTAACAGATATGTCTTTGATTGGTTACATTGTTCAATGCTGCAAATATGTTTCTGCAATATCAGATGGGGCCCCCTAATTCCCTGGGGCCCTAAGCGGCCGCTTACCCCGGCCCTGCATATGACAAGTAAAAATGCTAAAATAAAAGTGAGATAAATGTTACTACACTAATGTTACTACACTGAAAAAACAGTGTGGAGTTTACTTTGAAACAATTTTCACTGACAAATTGCTTGTACATTTAACAAATAATTACAAAATTACATATGACAAGTAACACACTGATTTAAAGGAATAGTTCACCCAAAAATGAAAATTTGCTGACAATGTACTCACCCTCAGGTCACCCAAGATATTGATTGACTGGATTCTGATCCAAGATGTAGATGAGTTTGTTTCTTCATCAGAACAGAGACAGGAGACAGGATTTATTAATTTTTTTCTTATCTCTTAACTGGCTAAGAAATCAAATACACTGCTGGACAATTAAAAATAATTTGTATTCTGTAATAGTTTTTCTATATTTTCCTATTGGCAATTTTATGATTTGTTCATATACTACACTTTTTTTATTTTTATCACAGAATAAGGCAGAAAATGTATAGTTTCTATAGGCTACTGTAATAAATTATATGTCAAGTAGCACTGCATTATTCAGATACTTTGTTCATAACTTGGAGATGACTTGAAGAACACACATAATCCATATAGTGTCACAATCATGCATGTATTGTCTTCAAGTTTTTTATTCAGCTTAGCCACAGCAATAGCTCGATTCAGCACGTCATAATTATTACTTATAATCCGTTTTGGACTTTCTACACAAAAGCGCCCTCCGACTTCGAGTATGTATGAAACAGTCACTGCATGAGAGTGTTCAGTGCTCCATACTGTTCACATCTCCTCATTTTGGATATGAATAAAATGCCAGGTCATGCATAGGCTATCTTTTCTCTTTGAATTTAAATCCAGATTTATTCACTGGCCCCTAAAAACCTCTATGTGAATGCACTTGCCTGAAAAAGTGCGGGGGACAAATTTACGTTTTATTAAAAGTGGGGGGACATGTCCCACGTGTATTTTACACCCATGTATAGTGGTAAGATACTAGTAACTATTGGAATATTTAATTTAAGTCAGTGAAACTAAAATAGATATTAGTCTGTATTTTATTAAAAAAATAAAAATCAGTAATGTAAAAGTAGTTATTAGTTAAATGAATTAAAATGAAATTGGCTTGCCACAATACCTATACACCATTTTATGAGGTGGAGGGTCTTTTGATATCTATTTAGAGAGGAACTATTAATAAAAACTGACATACGAGAATGTCTCAAACATCTACAGAGGTTTCAGACATTGGTGATTGGAAATATGTGGCTTCAAAGTCCATTTCTTTGAGGAAAACTAATTGAACTGCACTGGCTGTTTGCTGAATTAAACAGTTTGAAAATATATTACAGTAAAAGTAATGTAACATTTGGGCACCCTTCCATTTGGTTCTTCCTTTAAGTGTTAATGTTTTCACAATCCACATTGCCTATTTCTTCAGTTTGCAATTCAGCAATTAAATAACTGCAACAAAGTGAGTGTGCATAGTGTGTCTCATGGTTGTTCCTCAAATTGCTGAATATCACACGACAGATTTAGACTCAATGTGCCCCTGTTGTCCTCGTATTTTGGCATCAACCTGATTTATTTACTTCACAAGAGAGCAGGAAAATTAGGGCAGATTGGAGAGAACTTAAAATGTGCCAAGGCATCAATAATCGAATAGTGAGTGAGCTTGCTGAAATGACAAGTTCTACCATCTGGTCCAGTATAATGAACTCCTTTTTGCAGTGATCTACAGATGAGAAGTGCATTCCACATTATTCAGTCAACCATAAAACTGACCCTGTATTTACTTTCTTAAAACCAAGTTCCTGTGGATAATTATAATTGCATTCTGGCCTGCACACTGAATATCCTGTTTCACTCAGACTTCGAGTGACGTCAAATTACGTGAGTAAAATTGGTTAAGAAAGTCATTTAATGCTTATTTTAATCACAAAAAAATTACAAACTGAGCTCAAACAGAAGCGTCTTGAAGCATGCTTGAGATTACTGCTAACAGTTTAACCAAATGAAAAGATCTTTTAATTTAGCTTTCATTTAAATCTTTATTGAACTAGGGCAAATGCTCTGAGAACATCTCAAATCTCATCTTCTCATTCACAAATACACTCTAGGGATGTGAGAGGAAGATGGGAAAGAGAAAAGTACATGAAGAAAGAACATGCAGCAATCAGTGAGTTGGGGCTATGATCTACTGATTGAACCCAAGAGATTTAAAAAGCCTCCAGTTCCTATAAGGTTTCTCATTCTCAAGCCATGTCACACTGGTGTGCATTTCTTATTGATTTTAATGTAATTTCTGAATAGTAGAAAACATTTCCAAAATTAATGCCTGGGAAAAATTGTGCAACTCACGGAATACTGATATTTTGTGATAAAATTCCCTGCCATTCTATATGTGGTAAGTTGTCACAACAGAAATTGCCATTAAACAACCTCTCATATGGTCTATTTAATGATTTAATAATGAAATAACTGTTTAATTAAATGTTAACATTATGAATTTGCAAAAATGTAATATATATATATATATATATATATATATATATAAAATATAATATATATATATATATATATATATATATATATATATATATATATAACATGTGTATATTATTAAATGTATACTAAATAACTGTAATACAAATACAAATATTACATTTATATTTATGTAAAAAATGTTTATTTATATTTATTTGTAATTTAAAACACAGGACAACTTGAGTCTATCTAGTATGTTTCCCAGTACATATGAAGCTATTAATATGCTGACCTAAGATAAATTATTTATCATTTTGCTCTAATTTTTGAAAAATTAGCAGAAGTTGCATTTAGTGGCTCTCTGTGCGTAGTTATGCCGCTTTAAGGTTTGTGGGCAGCCTGTGACTTTCTTCTCCTAGTCTCCCAAAGTGTTATTAGCAGTAATAACTGTTTTGTTGAAATGTGGGAGTAAGAGAGTGTGAAAAGCCATCCTCACGTGCATGTTCATACCCCACATCCCCTGAATACATGCACAGCGGAGAGTGCTGTTGAAGCTAAGCATGTAGGAGGACACCTGTGGTGTGGGGATCTCATATATCTATGAATGACTGAGTGGGAGACAAATCCTTTGGCACCGTTGCTCAGCAGACACTGTCTCCCACTTCTGAACTTTTAAACAGAGGCATGTGACGTTACTTTGCAGAGATGTGTGGGCAGTCTTGATGTACAGTTCCGAGTCCTGAGTAGCCTCAAAGAAATGTCTCCTTTAATGCAAATCAATGCTTTGAGCAGGAGATACAGAATGCAACTGACTTTTTTCTTTATAATTTTGTAATTGTCTTTAAAAATCTCTGAATTAAACAAGCTGAAAGCCAAATCTAACATGCCAATGAACAACAGATAGTCAAGGAGTTGAAATCAAAATCCTAAAAATTGAATTAATATAAAGTATAAATGAAAAACAAAAAGAAAAATTTAAATTTATAACTGCAAACCTGCTGAAAATCAAATGTCTAAATGTGTAAAGTATGTACAAAAGGACAATTTTCATGTAGGATTTATTAAACAAAGGGTCACCTGTCTATTCATACTGAAAATAAGACTATTGTATACTGTTCTTGAAAATAATTGAGGAAACTTATCATTGTGCAAAGCCTTTAGCTGTTTTGTCATACTCATACATCAAAAGTGAGGGCTTGTGACAGGGAAATACATCACTGCTTGAGGGAAAAAGTGTAAAGCAGGTTTTGCAAACATGTTTAAGGTTTGTAAAGATGAAGTCCAATATCATTTGAACAGTTTTAAAGAAATTTATTTTTGGTTTGCTCATGTGAGTTCACTTTTACCATTGCATCAGCTTTACTTGGCCTTCTGTGTAACCTGATCTAGAGACTTGACACACTTGTTGATGAGGTTTTGAAGGGTTGTTCATCCCTCAAGGTATGAAAGAGAAAAGTTTCATTTAAAAAGTAAATTTAATGAATATATTTCTTGACAAATGACAATATAGTTTTTGCATTGGGAAAATTATGGTCTATAGTAATAATATTAATGTTCAAAACACAGAATACTATACACAAAGAAAGTTTGGTAAAACTATAAATGTATTACAAATCATATAAATAGATTTTAAACCTCATTCACCCATTAAACAGCTAAGAGAAGTGAACTCTTTGCAGTCAGGTATTCTCACTTATGACCTACTACAAGATAGCTTATGCACATGCTCACAGGCTAAATCAAGCAATTACCTGCCATTCATCGCTGAGGAATGTCTGACAACATGAATATAATGGTTTGAGTCACTCTTCCAGGTGACCAAAAACCACAGCATTCTTAAGCTTACATAATAATGCAAACACAGACAGTCTTGTGCTGAAAATATATTTTCGTCATAGAGCCAGAGATCGCTTCTTCAATACCAGTACAAATCCTTACTGATTTCTGACACAGGCACACCTGAAAAACACAAGATGATCACAAATAAATAGTTTATCACCACCTACACAGAGAAGCAGCCAGAGACTCACCGCGCCTTCAAAAAAATCCAACTGAGGTGCGTAGACCAAAAAAGGTTTCCCAAAGGTGAAGAGCTTGAAAAAAGTCCGCACACTCAAACATCTAGAACTAGAAGCCTAGTTCTAACACTGTTAGCTTGGCATTGAAAATGGTCAACATTTGACCGAAACGTTTGCCTTGTTTCATTCAGTAAATTGCTTATATTGTTCTCATCTCGCTTGTGATGCTTTGATGTTTGAGTGTGCGGACTTTTTTCAAGCTCTTCACCACCTAAACAAACACTTCATTTATGCACTGCAAGTCAGTCTGCATTCCGAATATGCATACTTCCCTTCTATATGTAGGCGAAACAGAATGTGCATGTGAAAAGAATAGAATGTCCCATTTCACAGTATTCATAAAACAGTAGACAAAACGTGTCTGGATGACTTATTACTTGACTTAAAGGGATAGTTCACCCACAAATGCAAATTCTGTCATCATTTACTCACCCTCAAGTTGTTCCAAACCTTTCTTCTGCTGAACACGAAAGAAGATATTTTGAAAAATGTGGGTAACCACAAACAGTTTTTGGTCTCCAACATTGACTTCTATAGTATTTTTCACATACTATGGAAGTCAACGGGGACCAGCAACTATTTGGTTACCCACATTCTTCGAAGTATGTTCTTTTATGTTCAATCTAAAAGAAACTCACAGGTTTGGAACAACTTGAGGGTGAGTAAATTATGACAGAATTTTCATCTGTGGGTGAACTAGCCCTCTAAATAGATGACTTTATATTAAATAGAACGCACTTTTTTTTAACTGTCGCGAAGAAGCTCCACGTATGCGAATTCTATGGAATACTGGATTCTGATTGGTCAATCGCAGCATTTAGCGGTTGTCCATGGCAAATACTGTTCATCAGATTATTACAAATCTCCCGTATCACACCGCGGACTCAACACTCTCTCGTTTCAAACCCCTTCAGGATAATAGTCTGATCACTTTGTCTTGGTTTGTGTTCATTACTAGCTGACTGTTCATTATTCTTTACTGAACAATTCATTGATTTCCTTGCACTTGCATTAAATACATTTTTGCGCAAACAGTTAGCAATGGCATGATTACCTGAATCTAGGCCTATCCTGCTTCCATCCTTAAAGGTCGTCCCAGAATTCCACTCTGGTCTGGTTTCTGATTTTGAGAAGGGCGAGATCATGATGCCCCCTGTTGGCCGATCCATTTGTAACAGGTCCAGGTAAGAGCTGGCACTGCTCTCAGCAGCCATGGGCTGTTGGTAGAGTATTTGAGGCAGTTCGAAGGCTGTGCCCTGTCTGGGTGGACATGGCCAGAGGGACGAGGAGGAGGAGGATGATGATGATGATGGTGACAGTACTGAAGGATTCACAATATCTCCCTGGGATGGAGGTGGAGGTTTCATGGTTATCAACTGGGCCAGATTTGAGGAGCCGGAAGAGTGTGTGGACTTAGACCATGTTAGACCAGAAGAAGCCCATGATGATGAGGGAACATCTGGGACAAGAAACGCATTAGATAGATAGATAGATAGATAGATAGATAGATAGATGGATGCACATTAACGCACCAGATTTGGGAATCCTATTGCTGTCCTTGGCTTTAGTACTGAGGTCTTTTGGTGTGGTTGCTTTATTCAGGGCACGGAAGAAGTGCTCATCCACTGCAGCGTTGATGTCACCTTGATAGTATGTAAAGAGCTGAGGAGGATCTTTACACTCCTCTGAGTGCTTTAACACTCTGTCCGCCATCATCCTGACTTAGGAATACAACATAGATGGGTTATTTTACATTTTGTCTTTATTCTCTCTCATATTTTACATTGAAAAGCAATTTACTGTCCTACACATTAAAATAAATAAAATAGGAAACACTGTCATAAGTCATAACACAATTCTTTGAATGAGTGAATTCTGGAAGAACATCAAAGATTTCTCATTAACACTTTCTTATGTATCTTACAACATTAACCCTAATACAATGATTTTCTGCAAGACACTAAACAATTAAATGTATATAAATATTAGCACTACATTTTTTCAAGCATTTGTAATTTCACAACCTTGAGTACAAGGATTGGATTATTAAACTGTAAAAATGTTGTTTTTCACAAATATTAAGCACAACGGTTTTCAACATTAATAGCAATGCTTCTTATGCACCAAATCTGCATATTAGACTAATTTCTGAAGTATCATGTGACACTGAATATTTGAGAAATGACTGCTGAAAATTCACAGGAATGATCTACATTTTAAAATATATTACAATAGAAAACGCCTATTTTAAATTGTATTGCATGAATTTTACATTACCCGTAGCCTTGGTGAGCATAAAAGACTTCTCTCAACAACATTAAACAAACCCAACCAACCCCAAAAGATAAAAAGTAGTGTATACTACAATTTATGAATGTAGCTTGAGATGGCAGTGCAGTTTATTCATATTAAACCTCATCCAACAAAAATGCTTAAAAGAAAAATCTTATCAAAACTGGCTATACAAAATCCTTGAGGGAGAAAACTAAATTAATTATAATAATTATAATTAATAGAAATAAGCTCTTATTTATTCTAGAAATAAACATGCAACATAAAAAACAGGTAAAAAGTAAAAAAAATTAATCCACACTTCTAAAGGGAAACAAGTTATACTGCTCCTACTTAAACTTCAAGCACTCCTTTCTCAAATTGAAACAGGATTTTAATTGCATTCACAAATGAATTCAAAACCCCAAACTGCTTACCAAACTGAATCCAGCCAACATCCAGCCACCGATCATACTAAAACAAAACGAATGTGATACTACGTGCAGGAGGTAATCTTCTTTACTTGTGCACTGAAAAATGCACCCGAGCGAGTTGAACAAGGTCTCTCAAACAGATAAACCACAGCTGTCATTAGGCTTACATGGAACTAACTACACTTAAGGAAACTGCTTGTTTTTTGTTCCCATATAAACCAAAGATCTTGTTAGTGAGCGACGTTACGAATGAACATCTTTTTCATGAAAGCAAGAAACAATGACGAGGTCACAAAATGTTTTTTACTATAAAACTATTAACAGATGTTCAAATTGATTCAATGACACACATTAGCACAAAGGACTGGGGGGGGGGAGATATGGTGAAATGCAGACATGTCATGGGAATAAACAATTAAAAGAAAACACTGTAAATTAGTGTGAAGATGTTTTAGCAAGAGACATTAAACAAGTCCTCTTTTCTCTCAACATCTACGCATCCTCATTATCACTTCCTGCTAAACTGCTATCGGTCGACGCTACTCCTTCTTCCTCCTCCTCCTTCTCATCTTTCCCCTCCTGTGGTTTTGCGGTGCTTTCGTTTGCATGTTCCCCTTGTCGAGTCTGTTCTGCTGCTTCTTGTGTGCTGGAATTTTGTTGTTCAGCTGCTTTTGAAGGGTCCGCTTTAGCTTCGACAGACGCACTCTCGTTACTCAGGAAAGAACCCCAGGCTTTCAGTCTCTCTTCTCGTTCTCGTGAGGTTTCCTCAACCTGGGTGACCAGAGACAAAATGTGAGACAAAGAAAAATAAGCAGAGAACAGAAATGATCAATTTTAATCATTTTGTTGGGAGAGTCTGCCTAGCATGTTTTTTTTTTACTCAAATGTAATAACTTTCCTTTTCCCCATAAGACTACTGGATAGTGTTAAACAACAGCCAAATAGCTACTTAGGGACTGTTTTGGCAAACCTGCATTCAGTAACACACACTTTACATGATAGAGCAAATTCCTGATTGATAATCTAATGTCCCTCTCTACATTTTCTCTCTTCAAACATCCCATTTCATTCAGAAAATATCAGATTGAGGAAGTAAAATGGCTTGCAAACAGCAAATCATGATGGCTTTAAATAGGCCAAGTATTTTACCTGGTAGTCAGTTACACCATCCCACAGCTGTGCTGATAGTTTCTTCCCACCAAACCAGCGTCCATTCAGAGCCGTCTGACACATGTCTGCCTCTTCAGGTTCTTTAAAAGCCACGGATGCCACTCCATCAGGGTGCCTCTGATTTCCATGGAAAAAGCAAAGAGTATAGTGTTAGAAATGACAGAGAGAGAGAGACATTTGAATGGTCATTGACTTTAAATACAACTAAGTTTTATTATATTAATTGTGGACAGGAGAGGACTTACATCAAAGATGATGACCTTCTTCACTTGCCCAAACTTCTCACATTCTGTCCGTAGATCATCTCTGTACTCATTCAGAACCAACGGATCCTCCTGCATGAGACATAGGGTGCAGCTCTTCAACACATTGTCAATCAAAAGTATGAACACATTTGACTTAATTTATATTGCTCATTAATTAAAAATAAAAAAAAATAAAAACTAAACTGGTAACACTTTAGTATACGGACCAATTCTCACTATTAAACTAGCTACTTATTAACATGCCTATTATTAACGTATTGGCTGTTTATTAATACTTATAAAGCACATTTTCTGCATGACCATATTCTACATCCCTAATCCTACCCAATATCTAAACTTAACAACTACCTTACTAACTATTAATAAGCAGCAAATTAGGAGTTTGAAGCAAAAGTCTTAGTTGATGATTTGTTAGTAGCGAGAATTGTAAAATAAAGTGTGACCTAAAAAACAGATTTAAAGGCTTATGGTTAAACGATTGAAATTAACATAATTAACATTAACATGAAAAATATAAATTGTGCCTAACTGGTACTAAAATAAAAAAAAATATATTAAAAAAATGAAATGGATGAGGTTTGACTGATTTTTGAATGTCCAGAGTGCGCAGAGCTGAAATCTAGCAAAGGATAGCAACTTTGAAGAACCCCCCCTTTCCTTTGCTTGATGCTAATCTGCGGTGATTGGTCCGATTGGTCTAATTTCCATTGCATCATGCCTGATAAAGCAGCGTTTGTGAGCACAGTGCTGCTTTGTGTACAGCGTTACCAAGTGGGCGGGCAATATGCTAATGTTTCATGCTGAAGTCAACATGAAACGGCTTGGGATTTGTTTTAAAAACGACTCGTTTCAATGATTCAGAGTCGACTCTTTCTTTTGAGAGACAATAACTTTATACACGGTGCACTTTCAGATTTAAAACTCTGCAGGATGTTTTCATTCACTTAGAGCTGTGTTACACACTGCATGAAAGGTAATTTTCAAAAATCCGTAATAGGGGCACTTTAATACTCGTGTTAAATTTATTATTCTAGTTAGTACGTTACTGTTTAAGGGGCTGGTAAGGTTTTTAAAGTTATTAGTCTCTTATGCTCTCCAAGGCTGCATTCATTTGATCAAAAATATAGCAAATACAATAAAAACAGTAACATTGTGAAAAATGATTACAATTACAATTTGAATCATTGCACTAGTCTTTAGTGTCACATGATCCTTCAGAAATCTTTCTAATAAGCTGATTTACTGCTCAAGAAACATCTCTTATTATCAATGCTTAAAACAGTAGTGCTGCTTAATATTTTTGCGGAAACCATAAACATTTTCTCATAAATTCTTTGATGCATAGAAACAGCATTTAATTGCGGAGTTGAGTTTATTTGTCAAGTTAAAATATTAACTTCGTAAAAATAAACCTTACTTACTCCAAACGTTTGAACGATAGTGTGTACTGTATGTAGTTTATCTCAGACTTAAATTATTTATAATCGAGGCCTATATTATTTACAGTTGCATCACATACATAGTTTTAGTTAGATACTTAAATTTAGCAATTTAAGTATCAGTCTCATTCATTAAACAATTAATAGTCACAGAAATCAAGACGATGTGTGAACTGCAGATCCACACCTGCATTCCTGCTCTCATCTGACCCTTTAGGTTGCACCTACTTCAGGAATGCAGACAGACCAGCTGTGAGATGTTCACCGCTGCTACAGAGAAACTAAACAATGCCACATCTCTAAACTGTTGCTAATCAAGAGCATTATTGTAATTAACTTCATACATCATGAAGTTATTCTGAACTGTAAAAAGGCATTCAGTGTAAAGTGTTGCCAACAAAATGTTCATCTATTCACTAACATCTGTAGTATGTTCCAGTGTGTTTGTGGGTGTGCCAGCATGTTTTGTGATTAACTCTTGCCTCAAAGTCACTGGGATGAAACATGTTTTGGATGATGACGACTTTTTCATGCCTTTTTCGAGTTTCCGCAACTTTCTGCGGCCTCCAGTCCAGCTGCCTGTTAATTATAAATTCCAAAAATATCAGTCATAGCTATAGCAACACAAAACATATGGTGATTAGGCAGAGCATTGTTGCACAATGCGTCCGAATCAACTATATAGAGCTGCAGGAGTCAGTCTGAACCAGTGGCGGCTCGTCAGGGGAGGCACAGCTTCCCCATAATTTTGAGGTGAAAATGGGAGGAGGACGATTTAATGATAATAAAAATCACAATTCATGTCTCAGAATGTGTATTTTTTGTTTGTAATTTCCTTTTAAGCAGGGATGGATGTTTGCTTCAAGTGATAGGCCAGGTAAGTTAAATTATATTATCTTGCTGTATGTCGTTTTCTTTACGTTTTCTGTCTAAAAGCAACCAAAAAGCCAATTTAAAGTGGTTAAGCAAATAATAATAATAATAATAATAATAATAATAATAATAATAATAATAATAATAATAATAATAATAATAATAATAATAATAATAATAATAATAATAATAATAATAATAATAATAATAATAATAATAATAATAATAATAATAATAATAATCGGCAGGGATCCCAGACCAATACAATTAGTGTGCCTCCTCTATTTTAAAACCCACGAGCCGCCACTGGTCTGAACAGGTTCTTACTTTTGTTGCTGCTGGAGCTTTTTACGGTATTCTTTGTTCTTTTTCTTCTTCTTGCTGGCATCATATTGTCCTTTGAGCTCGAATCGCGCTGCTTCCACATGCAGCTGGTAGCCCCGAATCTCTGTCTCATCCAAAAGCCGCACGGCAAGAGCTACAGACTCTTTCTGCAAGGAATTATAAAATAATGAAAACATTTGTCTACAAATTATATAAACACACATGTAAACAGTGTTAAAGAGATTACAATGTTAATTTAAAATACAGCTGAAATAAAAAAAATGTTGCAACTAACTAAAACAGGTTTACTTTGAAGTACTAAATTACTACAATGAAAAATAAAGCTAAATAGAAATGTGTGTGTGTGTGTGTATATATAAACATACAAATAAAAACAACAAAAGCAAGCACATAACAAAATTACTAAAACAAACTAAATTTAAAATGGACATAAAAATCAAATTAAAAATATTAATAAATATTTTAATAGTATATAAATAATAGTAAAATAGCATTGAATGTAAAGTAAGTGTTTTTATTTTACACACACACACACACATACATATATATAGAATATCTATAACTTTTATGTTGTGTTCTGGTCATTTAGACCCAGTGAGGGTTTTTTTTTTCCTGAAAATGCTAGTTAATGTTATCAAATTGGACTAAACCTGACTTTGCTCACACAGGGTATAACAACTTTTTTCACTGTTACACTGCCAGGCCTGTCAGTTTCTTGTTAAGCAGTGAACTTCTTTTCTTTCAATTAGCACACGTTTTACATTTCTTTTCGGAGCTTAATTGAATATAGACCTCTGAGCTTATGCATCTTATTTTTTTGAATAAACACTGGCAAAAATATCCACATATAATGCTCTTTTACTCATAAACTAAGATGCATAAGCACAGATCAATGTTGCCTACGATCAATCAATTTCATTCAAGATTTTCAGCACAGCACAAGGGATAAATAAACTTGATCGTAGTATTACAATGACCAACCTTCAGGTAGCAGCAAAGTCCATCTCCTTTTTGGTTTCCGTCCTTGTCCTTGTAGAGCTTGATTTTATACTCTTCTGTGATAGGATCACACATGATAATTCCACATTTGGACATGACCTCCACAAACTCATCAGGAGTTATGTCTGGAGGAAGACCTAGAAGAGAGACACATTCATGGAAAGACATTTTGTGAGCCTAACTTTGGATTGACAGCTCTTATTTAAACCAGCCAAGTGATTTAAAAAACAGAAATGGCCAGTAGAGGGAGTCATACCAGTATTTACAACATGATACCAACTTCATATCAAAATTATAAACAAATAGTAATCTACTGTAATCTAAAAATTGGGAAAATATTTACCTGTCACATAAACATTGGTGTTTTTGTCCTTTTCAACTTCAAACCATCCTGTAAAACACAACACACAATGTTTATTTGTTAACTAGAATACTTGGTAAAAAAAAATAAAAAACTGATAATGAATAATTTCTAACCTGGATCTGCTTTCCTCTTCTCTCCTTTCTGAGCTCCCTCCTTAGTTTTTTCCTGGTTTGAGCTCTCCTCCAGCTTCTTGGGTTCTTCTGGTTTCTTGGGTTCTTCTGGTTTCTTGGGCTCCTCTGGTTTGGCAGGGAGAAAGTCAGTGACAGGGACCGCAGCACTTGGATCAGGGGCCCCTTCCTCATTGAAGCCATAGTTTGCTTGATATGCTGCGATGAAATCATCATTTACCTATAAAGAAACAAATAACAAGTGAACCTTAATAGAGAACTTATTAATTAGCTCTGACCGGGTTATGAAAAAAGAATTGTTGAGTAAATGTAGTATTTTGTTTGGGAAGGAGAGACCTTTGGAAACCATGCTCTCTTTTCATGGTCCCAGTCGTACACAGTGCCGTCTTCTGGGTCGACGTATGTGTATGGATCTTCTCCAACCTCTCGCCTCTGTCCATACAGCTGCTGCAAACGGAGCTGCTCATGGAACTCTTTATTACCGTCTGAGTCCCTGCTCATCTACAGAAACCAAGATAAGACAGAGATACTTGAGACATTTAAATAAACCCTAAAACTAATAAAAATGACTAAAACACATAACAAAATTATTATATATATATATATATATAAAAAATATATATATTTAGAGTTATAAGGGGATTATAACTGGCAACCACACTGGAAATAAATGACTTGTGGGCGTTCAATATGAATTGCCGCTTCATTTGGCGCCTGTTATGAGTTCTCAATGTTTTCAGCTAAAACATCTTGATAGTTTTAATGATGAGAAAGACTGATGTGAACTGACCCATATCAATCCACGTATGATGTGACGAGTAAACACAGAGGTGCTTATTGGCTTATTTAGAGCCACAGCGCTATCTAGATTTAATATATGAGGTGAACAATAAGACATTTACTCTGTTTTAACATTTTAAATAAAGAATATAGTAAAATGAACCCACCGTTTCCAGTGCTGAGCCTCCAAAACGTACAAGCGTTGCACTTCCGAAGAACGTGCAAGTCCGCCGATATGCGTCTTCCGGAATGCAACTGACGGCCGCACATGTGTAGTTCCTCTTCCTAAGGTCCCTTTTGCAGTACTAAGTCTATGTTTTTCATTCAAATTAACTTGTTAGACTTGAAAGATTTATTTAGACCTTAAAGATTTATTAAGGGAACGTGTTGATTATTTCACAAAAATGCCACATCTCCTCAAACAAATTATACATTTGTATACATCATTTAAATATTTAATGTTGACACAGGAATAGGTGCATAGGCTACTAGTATAGTAACTCCCAATCAAGTCAGATTTATATAATTTTTGTTCAACATACCTTTTCTTGATTATACTATTATTTCATGAAACAATGTTAGGGTATAATGTAATATGATCTGAGGAATCAGTTTTCTACATGTTTATTCACTAATTTTTTAAGAGCGGCATTTTAAAATGGAAAGTTACCAGAAAAATGTGTGCTTCAGTACAGAGCAACAAACAAAAACAGTCACATTTATGTTGGGTAGATATCTGTGTCAAATCCATTCTTCCATGGCCTTGAAGGAAACTGAAGCCCACTTGCTGTGGCAGGAGATGTATCATATGGAAGAACCATCTATCCTGTTCTGGCTCTTGGTATTACCAAACTGTTTTCATATACACATCCTATCACAGGAAAAGTTAAGACAAGAAAACATAAAAGATTTGAACCTTATAGCAATTTATCATATTGGCAATGTCTTACCAAGGTCGGGTCTTGTGATAGTCATTTGATGTTGACTGGACTCTAAGGAAACCGTTGAGCTCTGAGTTGAATTAGACTTGATGGATCTCACAGATGCCATGAAAGGAAACGTATTTGGTGGATTGGGTTTGTGTTTGGGAACCACAGTTGCAGTTTGGCTCCATTCTGAAAACAATCAAGAAGTTAGCATTTGTGTTTTCCAAGATTGTTAAGGTTGCAAGAAAGAAATTTGTGCTTTACCAGAGTATTCCTGCAGCTTGAAAGCTCCACAACATAAATGTATTCTCCATTGCTTGCGTACGTTTTCCTTCATGAGACAATGGAACACAAAAATAAAGAAACCTGGAACAAATCACAACATATTAATGGATTGGATGCTAAAACTGAATCTAAATGAATTGTATGTGCTCTTTCTCACCTTGAAGACTGTTCAGTATGGAGAACAGGTAGAGGAGGAACACTTTAACAGGACCCCAAGCGAGAAAAGCCACAGACCAGGTGAGACCCAATAAGAAGGTAAGGCTCGCCACAGCCCGCAGGTCTTTCAAGATCCCATTTTGGGTGCCGGCCGGTTGATTGACTTGCATGTTTCGGATCTGGATCAGAACCACTAAGAAGATGGAGCCATTGCACAGCAGTATGAAGGCTATGTAGCTCACTACTGACACGTAGAAAACCACATCATTTTGCACCCAACAACTGAAAAAGATGAAATAATTCACTTTCATTTGACATGATGGTAATATAAAGTTATTTCTTATCTGTAGTGCTGTTCTGTCACGATTTTCATGAAAAATCAATCATCCAACTTCACTAACAACATTTCTGAATCATCCAGTGTCATCTGAGAATCACTCATGGTGTTCATGCCATATGCATCTCTCTTTATAGCCACCACCAAGCCACATATAATAAGTGGAATCCCTGTACAAAGACATAATGGATGTTAAATGGAGATAAATGAATGAATTGAAAACATAAATCTGTCTCTAAATGTCTAAATGATCTTAAATGTCTCACCCCAGCCAAGCAGGCAGAATTTCAAGATGTATGAGGGCACATACACATTGAAAACTTTAACCAAAGCAAAGTACATATTCACAGCCCCTAAGCCCATCCAGGTAAAGGAAGTCAGTAGGAAATAGTGTAAGGTCACCGCCACAGCAATGCACAGGCCATAGATGCCAAAAGAAGAAATCCAGGAGTTCAGCAGGAACACCAGGTTCAGTCCCAGTAACGCAAGAGACAGATTCAACAGAATTTTGGATGGGTAGTCTCTTCTTAACTTCCTATTAAGATGCAAAGCATCAAAGTTAATGGCAAAGCAATGTAACATGAAAAATGACTTATAAAATGTACATTTTCTTGTAAATTTTGAACAGATGTATTACAAGTACGCTGTATTGCCATATATAAACATCAATTTTAGATATATCTTACTCTAAAAGGGTGTATGTTAGCACTGTGATCCCAAGAAAGCATGAAGACACACCACAGCCCATGTATGTAATAAGAGTGAGGATTTGCTCATTCTTCTCATCAATGGGAGTTCTGGACACATCCTTAAATTAAAAAAAATAACAAAATCATGACTTAATACATATTATTGAGGCCAATTATTCAATGCATAAATACTAGCTTCTCTATTTTTTTTCTATTCTATCTGTTTTCTTTTTATTTATTATATAATAAAAAAAAACCTTGCTACATATACTGCGTTAAGCTAACTTACACTTGTTATAGCACTTGCGTATCATTGCTCTTTTGTTGATTTTGATTGCTTCCATTCCACCTTTGGATAAAAGCGTCTGCTAAATGACTAAATGTAAATGTATAAGTAATTGTAATTGAGTATCAAACACAGAATCGTGTCGTACCAGCAGCACTCCAAAGTGGGTCATGTGGTCACACAGACAGGTTGTGTAATCACTGCTGCTATTATACGTCCAGCACCCCTTTGGATTCCATCCACCATATCCATCTAAAACAGGACATGCACAAACCCACCCACACATGAGATGTAGAATGTGAGAAGAAGAAGAATGTATTCATGTAGTCCAAGTGACTTGCCATTCTTATTGAAATCCCAGTAGACACACTGGACATCCTGGTCTTTCTGTTAAAGGTAAAGACAATTTAAAAATGATTTCTGCCAGTGTTTTTTAATTTTTCCTGGACATTACTAAGAACTACAGTGCTCACATTCTTAGTTGTTAGATGGTGCAGAGTGACAGCAATATATTCTTTTAGGTTTTCAATGCGTCCTGTGGCATTAGTCACACTTGCAGACACCACGTAAGTGTTCAGTCTTTTCCCATCTGGGTCATTCTGAGACAAACTCACAAATATATTGTGTCAAAATAATCTAACAGTGAGATAGACAAACTGTAAAATGAACATCTGCAACTAACAAAGTAAGATGAAGTCACCTTTGTTTGAAAGAGAGTCGGAACTCCATAAAACTGAAACTGAACACGGGGGCTGGTGTTGTTTACAATGGGGAATCGCTCTTGTATTTCAGAGGGCAGAGAAATGAAGGCCACTGTACCATCAAAAGGCTCCTGGTTGATATAAATCTATAGAAGAAAAGCATTTGTGTGATGATTTATATGATTCATTACATTATATTTTCTTAGGGCGAAAAAATATAAAACAGAAATCCAAACTTGTTCGCCAAATTTTGTCTGAAATATTCAATGATCAATACTTGATGATGCTTAATTTATTACATAAATTATATAAAAAAAGATTATAAATTAAATTTTAAATTATCATAAAAACGATTACATAAATAATAAATTTTATATTATTATATTATTATATTATATTATATTATATATTATAAAGTCTATCCCCAAACCTTTGAAAAGTAGTATATAAAAATAAAGTTCCACTAGTTTCATGAAGGTGCTGTGCACTCACCTCAGGGTTTAAGCCTTTGTTAGTGGAAGAGACTCCAAAGGTAAGGTTGTGAAAATTTCCTTGGTCAATATTGACCACTGATATTGCTAAAGCAGGAGCTGTTAAGCTGACTGACTCCCCATTGGACCCTAACATCTGGTCTCCGACAGACTCTGTGATGTTCAGAATACTATACAAACACAGGGAGGGATGTTTTGTTTACATGGAAAGCCTGTAATTTTTTTTTTTACAGGAATCTGCCTGTAAAACCCGCACATCAACAGCAGACCTAATTTAATATATATTTACACACAATATATTTCACTGTTAACCACATAAATGAAAAATCATTTCCTATATTTGTTTGATTTTTATTACTTTTATTGTTTAATAAAAATCAAGCAAATATATTAAATGAACACTCAGAGTCACACACACACACACACACACACACACACACACACACACACCTGTTGGTGAAAGGCAGAAGGTTGCTGTCAGACTCCAGGATGTCAGATGTGATGTTGATGATGACCTCTCCCAGCAGAGGCGTGATCACGCTAACGTTAATCACATCGGCTAGTTTATCCAGTACCGTTGAGAGCTCGTACTCATCCAGATTTTTGTTCTCATGTATCAAGTCCTCAATCATGATCAGAATATCTTCTGCATTGTCTAATAGGAAAAATGCATAGGGATTGTTTTTAGGATGCGCCCATATAGATATTTGTATCATACAGAGGCTAATGTGTTAAAACAGATTCCTATCCACTTGTGTAAATTCAGTAAATTTCTGTTTACTTGAAAGGAAACAAATAACATCTGAAATGCTGAAAATTTCCTCACTCTCAGGCCATCCAAGATGTGTAGAGATTTGGAGAAATTTAGCATTACATAACCAGTGGGTCTTCTTTGTGTGTCACAAGATGTTAATTGATGGATTGTGTGGTAATTTGTGGATTATTGTGATGTTTTTGTCAGCTGTTTGGACTCTCATTCTGACGGCACCCATTCACTGCAGATGATCCATTGGTGAGCAAGTGATGAATGCTACATTTTTCCAAATCTGTTCCAATGAAGAAACAAACTCATCTACATATTGGATGGCCCGAGGGTGAGTACATTTTCAGCAAATTTCCATTTCTGGGTGAGCTATTCCTTTAACAGGAAGCTTGTGTATCTAATGTTCACCATTAGTGACTGTAATGTCCTCCAGGTCTGACACACTGTTGACCACAACCTGGCATTGCCCCAGGTCTGGAGATTTCCAAAGAGCTCCAACGTTTGCATCCAGAAGACTGTTTGGAGAGAAGGGTGAGAAGGTCACAATCAATAAACTTATCAAAGCATGACTTATTTGGATCACTTCCCCCCATTAACTATTGCAAACTGCTCAGAGCTGCTTGACTCCAAGATACACAACATTATATAATGCTGTTCAAGTTCAAGTCTCATCCATTTCATGGCTGTAAATAAACCTTGAAAGACTGGAACATTATGGAAACACAAGAGATTGCTTTCGCTCTGCAATGAAATCAATCATACAAACAGTTTGACATTAATAATACTACTATATGGTACATACATGTGATTAATTGGTTTACAGCAGCCCCTTCAAATATTATATCAGACAGCTTCCTCTTTTTAGAGTTAGTGAACAATAACCCAGTGGAGTCAAAAGATGTATAGGCAGATTTACAGGCTGTCCATCAATGTCTCATTATGTAGAACAGAAGTGGAAATGTTAAATGATTTCATGCAATTATTATATTTTGATTAAAGATGATGTGTGTAATTTCCATGCCACTAGTGGCACCAAACATACAGGTGCATCTCAATAAATTAGAATGTCGTGGAAAAGTTCATTTATTTCAGTAATTCAACTCAAATTGTGAAACTCGTGTATTAAATAAATTCA